TTGAGGTAAAAATTTATGTCTTGCACAAGTGAAAAACATTCACATGATTTAAACAAAAACCTCAAAACTGAATATGAGAAAAGCATACACACCAAATGTATGCTGATGTTTATTGTGGCTAGCACAGTGGTTAGCACTGTTGCCTCATGCAAGAAGCCCCTGAGTTTGAATCCACTGGCCAGGGCTTTTCTGTGTGGAGTTTGCATGTTTTCTCTGGTGGGATTAGGTTAATTATTCTAATTTAGCTATAGGTGTGAATGTGAGTGTGAACAGTTGTCGAGTGGTAACCTGTCCAGGGTTAGCCCTACCTCTCGACCTATGACAGGAATAGACCCGGATGAGGACAAGTGGAAAAGGATTTATGGAGTGACAGCTATGTCCTAAATCCATTAAATTGGAGGAAAAAACAATGTGCATGACAAGTTTTATGCTAACCAGACTCTGACTTAGTTGAACACTCCAAAAAATAACTCTTTAAATTAACTTAAAATAATCATGAATAGGATTTCCACCTTACTAAATGTCTTACTTTTGTTGGACTGATGTAATTTGCCTGGATTGGATCAACTCAATTAAATTAAGTTGGGCTCAACTGCAGTAAATAAGCTGAGTCATCATTATTTAATTAAGCTGGTCCAACTAAAGTACATGAAGTTGAAAGAATTGAATAATGCTAAAATAAACCAATTTAATCAGGTGGAAATCCTTTCCATGGTTTTTTATGACCATTCAAATAGTTTTTTGTTTGAGTACACAAACACATATTCACGTGTATATGTACATATACATACATGCACACATGTGCACAATCAAAGTCAACAAAATCTATGTGATATGAAATAAACAGTCAATCATCAAGTCCTAAATGGAGTACAAAAAAGTATGTACATACATGTTGATCCCTATTACATGCTCAACACTTTCAGATTGATCACATTCATCACCCCCACTTCCCCTCAGCATTTGTATATAATCACCCTACAAAAACAGAGAGAAAAGAACAGGTATGATCCATCCATATTGTATGTATCTAGCAGTTCATCTATAGATGTATTCATCAGACATTAATTTCATATTCTTCCAAAAGCATGTTTTTTAGAACAAACTAATGCTTGAACATTCCTGTAATGCAGGTTCACTTTAACCCACGGTGATATTAGTTTTGCAATATGTACTTTCTTCCACAAGATGGGGGTGTGACCATTAACTCTAAGGACCTTTTCGATATAAATACAGCGGATCAAACCCCATAACTGTTATGTTATGAAAAACATAAACTGGAGACTGAAGGATGTTTGAACTGGGTACGCAGCTGGGCGCTGGAGCTTCTGTTCATTTTCCAGCAACACTAAACATGTCAGATAAAAATAAACACTTGGGGAGATTCTGGAGCGTGCGCAAGGCCTCCAGTGTACCACCTTCAAATATTTAATGAGTATTCTCGGGATGGGAATGCTGCTGTTAACTGATGTTTATGAAAAGCAGATAATTCTTCTGTAAAGCAACTTAATTTGAACAATGCATTTCATGCTTCTGTTGATTGTTTAACATGGGGTGCATACCATCCTGCGAGGCAGAAATGCACCATTATAACAGCATGCTGATTCCATATGAGCCCTCCAGCTGCCTCCTCACCTCCTCCCTTGGATCAGCTTCTCTAAAGAGAGCTGCAACCAATGCACCTCTGTTCCCATCTGGATACTGATTTTCTGTCTTTCTATTTAATGTACTTGTGGTCTGACAATAAAAAGTAGCAGCTCCAAGATGTGATTGTCCTTGTACATGTCATTTCTTAAAAAGAAGCACAACTTTTGTAGCAAGGATTATTTTGGGGTCAGCCCAGCAGGCGATGCACTGAAAGGAGGAGAGCTGTGAAGCTGCTGTAATAGCCCAAAGGAAGACATTTCTCTTGGACCATATGGCTCTCTGATGATAGCGCACTGGGAAAATAATCTTGAAAAACCACACTCCATTATATACTACAATGACTAGCATTGCTCCACATCTTGAGTGAGATTGGTTGTTTGGTGTCATATCTGCAAAACCGCACATTAAGAATGTCAGCAAAGTGGCACAATTGAGTCGAGTTCAGTTAAAACAAAGATTTATTTCAGCTGCGTGCCTTGATCTCATTAACTCGTGTTCATTCGTCTGTATAATTCAAGCAACCACACAGACAAAACCATTCCCAGATCCCTTAAGCCTTTTAACAAGAAACCCAACTAGCTGAAATATACAGACATTATTAAATGAGGCAAAATGTTGCATGTGCCTTTAAGAGCACTATGTCCCACTCTACATGTCTCTCTCTGAGCCTCATATGTGTCTGTTGGCATCAGCTGTCCTCAGTGCTGAAAAGAGCAAGGACATCTTTTCCTTCACTTCAGTGGGATTAGTGGAAGAAGTGCCCTCTTTATTCTGCTGGCTGCCATCTCAGCGCTCATAAAGGCAAAATGAAAAAGAAGCTTGGACGGAGAAGAGAGAGGATCAAGATAAGTGACAAGTTTAGATTAGAGAGCCATTCAGCTTTTACTTTCTTAGAGTAAAGGAACAAGAACAATGTTTTAGATCCCAAAGGAGACATACAAATAGTCTGTTACTGCAGCTTCCCGCACTGTTATTTTGCTGCTTTCTAAGTAATGACTTAACCCAGGGGTCAGATGAACAGTGCTATATGTGGCACTACAATGGAACAGCAGCCTACTTCATTCAGTCCCTCTGTCCAGATCTCGTTGCCACTTCCAAAAACTGCTGGTGAGAACAACTTCAGGAGAATCAGCCGCACAGAGGACAGCATTCCCTATCCGATCCTAGGCTTGGCCGCAGACATCCTGCACATGCGAGTAAAAGGAGGAAGCAAGATTCGCAGCTTACTGCAGTTTGCAGCAGCTCGCATGCAAGGGGAAGTAAGAAACCCAAATGGGATGTCACTAAGACAGGTGGTCTTCACTGGCTCAGGCAGAGGAGTCACAAAAACTATCACCTGTGTGGAGATCCTGAAACGTAAAGTTGAAGGTCTGCACCAGGTGTCCAAACTCTACTATAACACAGTGAAGGAGGTTTGGAAGAGTCCACAGCCTGGAGCACCAGGTATAACCATGGAGCGGAGAGTTCCTGCTATCTGCATCTATCTATCTAAAGATCCTCTGGACCCCCAGGAGCCTGGATATCAGCCACCACAAATCAGCAGTGTTCCCACAGAGGATGCTGAGAGACAGAAGGGTCTGCGCAGGACGGTTCATGCTCACTCATCCCCACACACAGCCAAGAGACTCTGTCTGGATGATTCGAGTGCATGTCCTCCCTAAACCTCTGATTACTTCATGAGAAATAAGAAATTTTGCATTTGCATAGATTTAATAGATTGTTGTGTGCTCCGTTTTACAGCATGAAGCTATCTTGAAGAAAATAATACCTCTGCATTTCTGGGGGTTTATCGTGATGCTTATGTAAGGCATTTTGCTACAAAAGTAAACAGTTGTGTCTATAATGCTTCTTTGCAATACTTTGTCATTTTGTTGTGAAATGTAACAGGTTAACATATGACTATAACTATTATTATCAACAATATCAGTAATAGATTTGTAGTCATAGAGGGGGAAATATTTTAATCCTGCTGAATTTCTATGTTGCCTCACTTACAAAGAAATGAACAGTCTTGGATTTTTATGAGAATTTAAAGAGCTAGTGGCTAAAATTCCTCCTGAGATGTCTTACTGCTGTGCTTACCGACAGTGATTTCTCCACCAAGTACTAAGTCATGTTTTGCTTGGGGATTAAATACTGATTTCAGTCAATGTCAGGCATTCAACTTTGATTTTGATTTTTGGTTAGTATTCTATCTCTCTTCATTAACATGAAACTACCTTAAAAATCAAGAACTGATCATTTCTTTGTAAACTTCTGCAGGGGATCAAATGATTATTTGCCCCACTTTATAAGCTGATGATGGTGTTTTAGTGTACCGGTAGTTACATTAATAGTTAGTTTACTTTCAAATGAACAAGCAAACTCCACTGTGTCCAGCTGGGAAAACAGCTGGGGAAAGAAGCATACACAACAACCCATGCTAGACACTAATGACCACTGTCCGGGGTCATTCTGATGCAAAAAATCAACCAGTAGTCATGGATTTGGTCATAGTCATTTTAAATATAAAGAACATGTTTTGCATCAGTTGTCTATATTCTGTTTTCTGCCTGTGGAAATAATTCATGTGCACAATAATGGCTCACAAGAGCATACGTTTTTGGTTTGTTTGACTGACCTTTATAATGATGGTACTCTTTTGTAGTAGAGTCACATCAATAAAAATGAATCATAAAGTGACACAGTGGTCAAGTGGTCACCTCACTAACCTCCAGGTTAGTTGGGACTTCTTTGTGTAAAAGCTGCATGTTCCACCTGTGTGTGCTTTCTCCCTCACAAGAGATTGTTATTTTTAGGTTAACTTTGAACTGGCAATCGGTGTAGTTGTTTATATCTGTGGTAGACCGGTGACCTGCATAGATTATGTGTAATGCTCTAGTTCGCCTTTGACCCAGGCTGAATAAATAGTAAAGAACATGAATTTAATTGTATGCATCTTATTTTTGAGGTTTTAGTGTCTGATGACATGAAATAAAAGCAGTTTAAATGTCCAACATTGAAGTTTTGCACACACACCTTTTTCATGCACATCACCACTTATATCTAACTAAAATGATCATAAATCTAAAATGTTCTGCTTTAAGAAAGCTCTGTGTCTTACGGTTTCAACTTGTGTGCAATTCTATCATCAAGAACCTTTGAAACATCTATTTTGTATCGTTCGCATTAAAAAGAAAGAAAGAAAGAAAGAAAGAAAGAAAGAAAGAAAAGATATCCCATAAAAAAATACTTCTCTGTGAGAATGACATTGCAAATATTAACATGTTTTCCCAGTTCTCAATCCTGCAATTTCTTTCTAGGGAAGTCAAGGGTGAATATGAGCTGCAGTTTGCGCGTGCGCAACAGGAGATTGCGTACGTGCCAGGTTAACACAGTTAGCACTAGCTTCCTTCGAACAGACCGCACCGGTCCGTGTAGCTCGCAGTCTCGCATCATGTTCAGAGCCGCCGTCCGACTGTCAGTCTCCGGTGTCCGAAGTTTAACTCGGACGCAACCAGGGAGCCGAGGTAATTCCTAATTCAGTCACCCATTGTAAATATATTAATCTGTAATTGATATAGTTGCTTCGAAACTGTCAGGGAGACAATGTAACGGAAATCAAGTGTGACTGTCGGCACATTTGCGGTTCCTTTACGGCTAAGCTAGCTAGCTTTTATTCAAGGAAAATCGCTATTTAATAAACATTACGAAACTGCATTATAATGATTCAGCCATGATATCCACATTTTTATTCAGTCGAGCTTTTTCCCACGTAAACTGTGGGTGTGGTGCTTTGAAAAATGTCCTGTCGTTCTTCTTGGCGTAGTTTATGTCCTTGTCATGACCCGGCTAGAAGGCTTCGTCTCGGGCCCTGTGATTGTGACTGCTGACGCTAGTTGCTAAGTAGGCTAGGTGACTGCAGGAGAGTTCAGACAACTAGAATTCAACATCAAAACGGAGTTTGGCATAGATTTTTATGAAAACAAACAGAATACTTTTTTGCATAGTTTTGCATTGTCTTGGTGTTTCTTTAGGGGTCAAAAAGTCTAAATGAGAAATGTTCTTTGAGTTGCAGGTTAATTAGTATTAACATGATACCTGAGCACATGCCTAAGTCATATTGTTTCATTTAAATTGCTATTAAATATAACCTGAGGACCATGTGACAGAAATTTCCGGTATGTCACGTCCTAGTGTGTCAGTCTGCTACGTGCAGACTGATACACAAGGTAGGTCATATCAAGACGGTGGCAGCGATCCAACTGCATCACATTACAAGGAAGAATTTGTCCTTTTTACATCGCAGATACAATTCCCGGCCTCTTTATTAGATACACCTATGAAATTTAATACTGGCGAGTGCAACAACACTGATGCCAGAATGACTGCATTTTCAGTTTTAGTTGGTTTGAAGAAAAAGTTGTTTTTATTATTATCATTATTATTATTGAAGTTAGAGTTGGGGTGGTAGTGTAAGTGTCCCTAATATTTCGCCCGTCATGTATGAAATTTTTAAAATATGATGTAGCCTGGTCTTTCCGCATTTACTTAACATTCACTGTAGGTTTATTTTATTAGACACAAATCACTGAAAAAAAATCTGTCTTATCATGCAGCTCTTCTGGCCTCAAGGTGTTATTCACATGGGAAGCAGGAGACAGACGAGGAGTTCGATGCCCGCTGGGTCACTTATTTTAACAAGCCAGATATTGACGCATGGGAACTGAGAAAAGGTACGTTTCTGGAATATAGTAATGTTGAATCAATGTAATCATTGGAATTGTTATTCATTGCTGAGGTATGTTTGTCTTGAGTCAACAGAAGTTATTAAAAAAATGGCCTTGTACAATTTTGCATTAAGAGGCTTAGTGAGATTAAGATTTAAGTAAACAGTCATAGTTTGCAATATAATGATTAAAATTGCATGTTTGCTTTGCATAGTTAACAAAAATGGTTGAATCTGTTGGTCAGAATCTGTTTACATTTGTTTCGATTCATTTCCTATTGTAAAACCCATATCATAACAATGTAAAAATTGAGCTTATTATAAGAAAATCAGTTTTCCTGATGAGACATTCACCCCTGATATTGTTTTAGTTATATAGACTGATAAAACTCATCTATATTGTTAACAGCTGCTAAACACTGACAGAGGCTGTGTGAAGTTTATAAATAAGCACTAGACAACAGTGGTTTGTCTAAATCAGCGGTCCCCAACCTTTTTTGCGCCACGGACCGGTTTATGCCTGACAATATTTTCACAGACCGGCCTTTAAGGTGTCGCGGATAAATACAACAAAATAAAACTAGTACCAGTACCGAAAAAAAGAAGATTTATTCACAACACACGTGAAAACACCCAGGAAAACCGAATTAACGATAAAAACGATAACAAAATAACGCTGAAAACCGATAAAAACCCTGAAAACCATACATTTCACACCTGAGCCTCAACTCTCACGGCCCGGTACCAAACGACTCACGGACCGGTCCGAGGCCCGGGGGTTGGGGACCGCTGGTCTACAGTATGCAGGTTTATGTCACAGCTGATTTATCGAATATAACAGCCTACGTATGTCCATTAAATCTGTCAAACGTGACAAAAGCAAATAAAACCTTTTTATTTTTGAGTCTTGGATTAATACAAATTTGATCCATTAGTAAGTAATTTTGGCAGCAGGGTGGTGTATGGCACCAGCTCAAAATAGACTCCTCTGATAATTGAAACAGGGGCATGTGCCCATTAAGTGTTCGCTTCATTTATAGAGCGCTTTGGTAAAGAGGGATTTAAAATACTGCTTCAAGCTACACCGAAAATAATTTGATGAGAATGGTTAGTCGTTTTATTTATTTGTTGTTTGCGCTCAGAACCTTTAGAAGTCTTTTTCTCTGATCTCTGGTTTAAGTGACTGCTTGTTTCAGGGATGAACACATTGATTGGGTACGATTTGGTACCTGAGCCAAAGATTCTCGAGGCTGCACTGAGAGCCTGTCGGAGGTTAAACGACTTGGCCAGCGCTATCCGAATTTTGGAAGCTGTGAAGGTGAGAGAAAAGGCACATGAGAGAAAATTGCCAGCCAGAGCCTTTGTAGTCAGATAATGGTGATTAATGGGTTTTATTGTTTATTTCCTCAGGACAAAGCCGGACCCCATAAAGATATCTACCCGTACGTGATCCAGGAGCTGCGGCCTACTTTAAATGAGCTTGGCATCTCTACACCTGAAGAGCTCGGCATTGACAAAATTTAGCAGAGCAGGTAGTAAAATCATCTATTCAGTCATGTTTATTCTCTTCCTGTGTGTTATAAGATGGCTGTTTAACAGATGTCTATATATGTTTGTTTGTTTCAGATCAAAAAACATACCCTGGACTCAAAACCCTCTTACTTCAATGTTTGCCTCATAAAACGTGTGCGATATTTAATTTGGCCTTTATTAAGTTCTGTTGCTTGTAAAATATTGTTGAACATAATAAAGGAAACTGTATCTTTGAGTGTCACAAGGATATGGAATATTTTTCAATAGTCTGAGTAATTGTTGGAGCAATATTTCATTACACGTTGCTTTAATAGAGAACAAAGTGTCACCAAATGGTACATGTTGTCCGAGTGTGTGTCTTGTAAGATTCACATTTTACCACCAGGGAGCAGCATTTCCATATGAATGTAAAATCATTCTACTGTACTCAATCTACATCTGTTTTCTTTTTTTTTCTATTTCAGGGAAAATTTATGTGCGGGTAAAATAAACTTGTTCACAGGAAAAATTGTGTGATATTATTATGAGCAGATGTCTGAAGTAAAATGTATTTTTCCTGATAAATATCTTTTTATGGTTGTTTGTCCCTGTGTGTTGGCCCTGCGACAGACTGGCAACCTGTCCAGGGTGTACCCCGCCTCTCGCCCTATGACAGCTGGGATAGGCTCCAGCGACCCTGAAAAGGATAAGCGGAAGTGAATGGATGGATTGATGGAAATATCTTTTTAAGAATTGACATTTTTCTAAGTTACATTTTGTATTGCGAGTATAGTTGTCATTTTAAAATTGATCAGATTGTGTAGTCTGCCCCCCCCCCCCCCCAAAAAAAAAAACATGACTGAGTATTAAGCCGTTCCTCCATAGATTTTAAAAATCTGACTCATCATTTGGAAATGTGTCTTTAGATGTAGGAACTAAAAGTCAAAGTTGGCAAAACTATTTCAGTGCAAAAATGTAGCTTTTTATTTCCAAATATGCCTCAAAAATTTAGTGCAGTAGAGTCACATTAACAAATGACTTGTTCTTTAGGCTTCTAGACTATGTTGTTTTTTTTTTAGGTATATTTTAAGGAAGCTTGGTTTGAAGTGATACTTTTGTGTAATGGAATTGGACATTTTTAAAACGAGTACAGGATCATGTCTGTGCTTTCTACACCGGTAAAACTAAAACCTTAAAAGTATCTAGTATAAAATTAAAACCCCTTTAATAGATCTTCAGCTGCTTATTATTTTTATCTGTATGAACTTATTTCTGAAAAGCTAAGACACTTGATAGTATTATCTTATTGGTAGCCTACTAGAATATTTTTAGAGGTGCAGGAAATGGGGGTTATCTACTCTGTGCCACAATGGGCTAGTTATTATTGTCCGTGATCTAAATACCACAAAACATCCTGCAGAGCATTTTAATTTCGATTTCTCTTGCTGGGTTTAAAAAAAAAAAAAAAATATATATATATATATATATTTAGATATAGTTGGTCTGGCTTGTGATTACCTACAGGTCTACAAAAGCTTTATTCGATGGCTGAATCTAAGAGTTCTGCTCACATCAACAGCATCAGCCAATAGCTTTATTTAGACTGGTGGGAGAAACTATAGACACTGATTCCCCCGAGCAAGCAGAGTAATCACATGTAGTATTTTGCTGCTCAGAATAGCAGAGCATCAAATGTTCACCAAGGCGCAGAGATTACAGTTATAGTTAGCTTTTTGTAGCAGGCAACTATAGAAAGGAGACATTTCTCCTGCTGGCACTGCTTGAAGAGTTTAGTTACTTCAGAGTTCCTTCATAAATAAATGTGTTGAATGGTTATTGGAAAACAGCAGGGGTGTGGCACCAGCTGGGGACAGGGGTGGCACTGCTATCTCAAATTTGAATGGCCCTTTTTAATGCCCCGCCAACGGGAGAAAAAGGATATGATTCACTGGGAATAATAGCTCTTAATGTTTCAGTGCTTTTATGCACATCTTACTGCTCCCTAGCTCCTGTACTTTCTAAATGTGAACATAAAACAAAGGACGTGTAAGACGTTATTTTTGCCCTACCAAACACCACTGGTTAAAAACAATGGAATTATTCCCCAAAACCACACCATAAAAAGACAGATTGTTTCCATGTACAACAGAGTCAGAGCGTCTCTTACAGACCAGGAAATATCACAGAAGAAAGCAAATGCACACATCTTTGTTTTTGCAATACTGCCACACTGGACTGACAGCTTATCTGGTTAAGAAATGTTTGTGAACAGACTGACAAACAACAAGCACAGACTAGCCATTAAACACCTTTAAGCTGTGTATTATTTGTTGCATGGTGAGCCTGATGTATGTAAGCTGTGCAAAATTGCCCCACTGCCTCGTTTGCCACTAAAACATTGGATTAGTGACTGGATGGGTTACCTCAGTAACATAAAGCATCTCCCGAGGGAGAGGTCAGGAGGTCATCCTCGTTTACTTTGAGAGGTATTTCTTTCTTTTACTCTTGTCTTGATCAAGAAAGTAGTGGTTTTTTTCTCATGCTTCTTTTGTTCCAATTGAACAATATATATATATATATATACATGCGCTCATCTCTTTTCAGTCTCTGTGTTTATACACCACTCTGTATTTAATCATTAGTATTCTTAATCTCTGGCTCCCTCTCCCACAGTGTGTCTTCTGTCCTGTCTCCCTCCCCTCACCCACAGCCAGTTGTGGCAGATGGCTGACCCTCCTTAAACTTAATTCTGCTGAGGTTTCTTCCTGTTAAGAGGGAGATTTTCCTTCCCACTTTTGCCAAGTGCTTGCTCATAGTGGGCTGTCTGATTGTTGGTGTTTTCTCTGTACTGTTGTAGAGACAACTTGAGTTTACTGTTACTGTGATTTGTGTCATATAAATAAAATTTAATTGAATATTAAATACGAACTTTCACTTTGCTAGAAAGTCCAACAAGGACATCCAACAGGAGAAAGGCTGTTCCAACATTTAGGAGCTACAACCTCAAGAGACCCTGATCAGAAAATCAGAGAGGTCGGTGGCAGATATAAGGTCTCAGTAGCTCTAATATATATGCAGCAGGCTGTCCATATAAGTTTATATGTAATTAGTACCATTTTAAGATGATTTGTTAATTTGACTGGAAGCCAATAACGAGAAGGAAGAATAGGGGTGATGTGCTTGTTAGTAATCTATCTGCTGCTTTCTCGACCAATTACAGATGGGCTTATGGGCTCACGGGTTGTGGAGGCAGGAGGTCTGTACACAATTATATTTTTCAACCAGTTTCCAAGTGGTTGGTTTTGCATTTACTTCTGATAGAATTGGACCCACAGGCTGGTTCTTGATCTGTTCGTGTGCCAGCCTACTGAAACAACCCTGTTATTGGCCCTGGAAACAGAAGTGAGTGTTTACATGATAATGGTGCACTGAGTACAGGAAGAATTCACTGGAGATATCTGATCAGAATAAAAACACACACTTTGCGTTTCACGCTTTGTCATGAGGTTCTCCCAAAATGATTTAATTCGGCCCTAATGCAAACACTATTAATAAAGGAAAGACGGCTTCACTAGTTTGACGTGTTGTTTTATCTTATTGATTTATTTCTACGGTAAAGGTCACATCACCTTTGTAAGAATCAGCAATGGATTCTGCTTTGGGGTGGGATTTCCTTGAGAAGTGGGTGGGAAGATACACATAGCTGGAAGCGATAAAGCACTTTACGATCTTTGCGCACGGGGCGGGCTTTCCATTCATCCAAGTTGGGGGTGTGCGCCACTCACTCGCAGACAATCGAAGATATTTTAGTTTGTGTGCTCCGCGAGTGACCGCAGAGAGGTGAAGCACAGCAGTATTTACCCCTCCTCCAGCTCCCATTACTCCAGCCTTCACACAGCGAGGGGCTTTAAACCACATTTGATCGACAGGAGGGGTTTTTGTTTTGTGTTTCTCTACTTTAAAAAAAGGAGAAAGTGGTCATGAGATGCGATTAACTTCTGGCGAAGGAAAAAAGCAAGAACTTCACGAGACCTGTTGGCGATGATGAATTATTCAAAGGCGCAAATGGTGAGTAAGCCTATCGACGACTCTTTCGTAGCTCACCCACTCGTGTTCGTTACAGTAACAAAGCAAAATGGGACAAAAGTGGACTTTACTATGATAATTTACGCTTTTTAAAGCTCCCCCTGTCATTCCCCGCAAGGGCAACAAGTTTGAAGCTTTATGTGAAGTTAAATTTCATCCATGTGTCCAATAAAAACGACGAAACCCGTTGTGAAATAACCTACTCCGAGGACCCTTAAGCAAATTGCGACTATTGAACTTATAAATGAGAGAGATATTTGGCCCCATGTAAAAATGTGTTTTGTGTTTGTTTATTCAACTGTTTATTCAACTTTATCGCCCTTTAATGAGCTCTCTGATGTCCACTCTTCCCGATTACCAAAGGTAGTCTACCTTAACTTGAAGAAGAAAAAAAAACATGATTAATATCTGGTATTTAATTATGTTTAATTTGCCTCTGCAAGCATTTTTGACCATGTTTATTGTTCTGGAGTAGGCCACCTAAGTGCTGCTGGGTATTAAAACATGTTAATCACATCATACACAGTTTTTTATCTTGTTTTTTTTTTAAAGATATTAAAATTTCTCATTAAAGTTCTGCCATTAGTGATTTGTGTTTTTCTCCTCAGTCCAACCTATCAGAGGTTGGAAGTTCAGCTGGGTGTTCACAGTCCTGTCCAGCCGGCGTGAAGCTGGAGGTGGTGATGGAGCATCTGCAGAAACAACAAGAAGCAAAGCTGGAGATGAGCCTGCAGGAGAAGCAGCTTCTTCACGCTCAGCTCCTGTTTGCTCAACAAGCTGCCGCAGCAAGAGCCTCGTTTTCAAGACCAGACTCTATATTGTTTGAAAGAGTAGATGGACAGAGCAATCCAGCACTCCAGCAGGCCTTGAATAATCATCTGAGCGGAGTGGATCCAGAGGCAGAGGAGGATGGAAACTCAGAAGATGAGGAACA